TGCCCAGGGCTGCCCCCCCCCCCCCCCGTGTCACTGAAGCCATGCTATTACTGCTTCTGCGTCCTACTCTGCCCATCTCTAGTCTGATGGATCAACTTTTGTGATAACAAAGCACTAGTAGTTCTGTGTCTGCTGGTAATGCGTTCTGATGAGGGACCGGCAGATCTGGGGCTCACTGGCTGCAGAGTTACCTGGGAGTTAAATGTGGCTGAAACATTTGGAAGACACAGCAGACTCCTGACTTCAAAAGAGCCAAATACTGTTTACATTAAGGAAATAGAATGTGATTCCGGTAGAATTCAGATGGCGGGGGGCAGAGGGGAAGGGAGGGAGAAACCTAACACCAAGCTATTATTTTATTACTTTACTGGCTCACAGGGACTGTTTCCTACTTTCTTCTAAAATGCCATATGGAGAGGCATACAACAGTGGAGCACAGGCTGCCGATTTCTTATTTGATAGTAGTCTGCTTCACAGAAATGTTATCCTTTGATACATGCAAAACATTTAATCACCCACAAACTACAGTGAGTCATACTGGGGTGCTGTCACTGCCCCCTTTCTCTTTCTACCAGCATTGCAGTCTCTCCTTGGGTTTCACATGTGGCATATGACTGTTGTTGCCCTTTGCTTTATATAAAAGCTTTGTGAGCTGGGGAGATTCATTGATTTGCTTGCCTCAAAAGCACGAGGCCAATCCCCAGAACCCATCTTAAAAACCAGGCTAGTGTGTACTCACCTTGACAGCTCCCCAGCAGGGTTCGTCCCTCTGCCATGCAGGCCTCTCCTCCTCACAACCTGAAAGTCACATCTGGTTGGATAGTCAGGTGCTTTACCAATGCCAGGAGGCTCTTGGGAGCAGACTCCAGCTGTTGTCCCTTCTCCAGGGTGAAATTCAGACAGTTCCCTGAAGTCTTAGTGTTCTGTTGCTGTGAAGCGACACCATGACCGTGACAGCTCTTAGAAAGAAAACATCTGACTGGGGCCAGCTTACGGTTTCCGAGATTCAGTCCATTATCATCATGGTGAGAAGCATGGTGGCAGACATGGTGCTGGAGAGTAGCTGAGAGTTCTATATCTGGATTGGCAGACAGCAGGAAGAAAAGGAGACACTGGGCCTGGGCTGAGCTTCTGAAACCTCAGAGCCCACCCCCAGTGACATACTTCCTCTACCAAGGCCCCGCCTCCCAGTAGCACCAGTCCCTGTGGCTCTATGGGGGCTGTTGTTGTTTAGACCACCAAAGGCAGTGACTCCTGGGATGTAGTCAGCCTGTTCTGTCCCGGGCAAGGATGGAGATGATTTCTCTCAGCCTCAGACTGGGGGGTTTAGATTGACTGATGGAGCCCAGGTACAGGTAAACTGTAGTTACCTGTTAGTGAGTTCTCAGTTATTTACTCTCCTTTATCCATGGCCTGGAAGCTCAGCAGCCAATGACAACAGCAGGTGTGAGCTGGCCAAGCTTCTGGTATGATGCCTCTGCTCACCCATGGGAACAGGAGGTCATGAATAGCACAGGTGCCCCAAGAGTGGGTGGGACTCCATAACTGAGAGCCACCAAGGTACTTCTCAGGACCCAGGTTCTAATGAGATAAGCATGTGTCATAGCAAGTTATAGGAAAAACTGGGGAAATGACGCCAAGCAGGATGGAGAGCAAGTGCTACGTGGATTTCCCAGTTGCTCTTCGGGCACCAAGACCAGAGCATCTCTGCCATTTACTCTCCTGTAGCCCCTTTGATAAATGATAGTTTTAATTTACTATTGTTTTGTAAAACCTCTAAGTATTTGTCAGAAGAAATTCCATTGGCAAAGTAACCAATGAGCCACTTTGGGATTCAGAAGATGCAGTAGTAGATGGTTCGGTAGTTTTATTTGATTTAGAAGTCAGAAACAGATGTTTTTGTTGTCATTTTCAAAATGACAGGATTACCAAATATAACAAAAGCCTTAGAGTCACTAGCATCCCAACTCCAGGTGTAAAGATGTGTTAATATTTTGTCAAAACAAAATGATGAGACACAAGTCAAATGCTGTTTATGAAAGGCCTAGCAGTCTAGGATTTAAGGGCATGGTGCTGGTATTTTTGCCACTTCTGTTGAGTGCCATCTTGGTAGGGATGCAGATACAGAGGGACTCACAAAACCAACGGGAAGCAGAGAGAAATGTCTTAATAATGCAGTCTTGAGCATGCCCCGATGACTTAAAGACTTCCCATCAGCCCCCCTCCCCCAAGGTCTCCTCTGCCAGCAGGAGGATTTCTCTCCCTGAGTCTCTCGGCCTCTTTTCAGGGCTTGCCTAACTGGGTCATATGCACTCAGGTTACTTCTACCTTTGTCTCAAAGTTAACCATCTAGGTGCCTTAACTGTATCTTCACATCCCTTCCTCTGAATGACGATGATGAGAGGCGTATCTCTCACCCTCCCAAATCCCACTCACTGGGGGGAATGACATGGGACCTGTACTTGAGGCCAGCCTTGCATTGTGCTTTCAAAACTCTTGCAATAGTGTAGCAGAAACTTTACATCATTATTTGGTAATTCTTTAGCTCTTAAGTATGGAGGTTTGTGTGTATGTGTGGAGGCCAGAAGTCAACCTCAGATGAGATGTTGTTTCCTTAGGTTCTATGTTTTTTATTTGTTTGTTTTGCTATGAGATAGAATTTCTCACTGGCCTGGTGATCTCCAAGTAAGCTAGGCTGTCTGGCCAGTGAGTCCCAGGGATTCCTCATCCCTGCCTTACTGATGCCTGGCTGGAGAGAGCTCAGTGGTTAAGAGTGCTTACTTCTCTTAAGGATGCGAGTTCTGTCCCTATCACCACCTCAGGCAGCTCACAGTCACCCCTCACTCCAGCTCCAGGGGATCTGTCACCCCTCTGGCTTCCACAGACATCTGCATAGACATGGCAGACTCTTAACACAGACATACACTCATAAATAAACAAAAAATCTTTAAGAAAATACAAGAACAGAGCAGTAGCAGTCATGTATCTCCATGTCTAGGAGCTGTTGCTCATTATTTTAATCACCTATGGGGAAGGGTACATGCCACAACACATGTATAAGGTCAGTGCACAACTCGTGAGAGTCAGTTCTTTTTCACCATGGAGTCCTGGGGCCAAATTCAAGTCATCAGTTTTGATCACACTTTTACCCACTGAGCCATCTCACTGACCTCATGCCCAGGTCTTTATGTGAGTCCTCATACTTGCCTGCAAGCACTTTACCAAATGAACTATATCCCCAGCCCTAGGGATTATTTTTATATATATATATATATATATATATATATATATATATATATACATTTATTTACTTACTTACTGTGGCCTCTCTGCAAACTATGGTGAAGTTCATTTACTAAGTAGGTGTACCTCAACATTCTAGACACTCTCTTTTAATCATTTTTAATCATCTCATTTATAATCATCCAGGGTGTCATGGCTCTGAGTGTACAAGGCTGACTAGGGAAGCCTTATTATCAATCTAAATAGATGCATTAAGACATGGTATTCTGCCGGGCAGTGGTGGTGCACGCCTTTAATCCCAGCACTCGGGAGGCA